AGAAAAAAAACATGTCACACCTGCTCCACACAGTTCTACACAGAAAACAACATGTCACACCTGCTCCACACAGTCTACACAGAAAACAACATGTCACACCTGCTCCACACAGTTCTACACAGAAAACAACATGTCACACAGTTCTACACAGAAAACAACATGTCACACCTGCTCCACACAGTCTACACAGAAAACAACATGTCACACCTGCTCCACACAGAAAACAACATGTCATACCTGCTCCACACAGTTCCACACAGAAAACAACATGTCATACCTGCTCCACACAGTCTACACAGAAAACAACATGTCATACCTGCTCCACACAGTCTACAAAGAAAAAAACATGTCACACCTGCTCCACACAGTTCTACACAGAAAACAACATGTCACACCTGCTCCACACAGTTCTACACAGAAAACATGTCACACCTGCTCCACACAGTCTACACAGTCTACACAGAAAACAACATGTCACACCTGCTCCACACAGAAAACAACATGTCATACCTGCTCCACACAGTCTACACAGAAAACAACATGTCACACTTGCTCCACACAGTTCTACACAGAAAACAACATGTCACACCTGCTCCACACAGTCTACACAGAAAATAACATGTCATACCTGCTCCACACAGTCTACACAGAAAACAACATGTCATACCTGCTCCACAAAGTTCTACACAGAAAACAACATGTCAAACCTACCCCACACAAAAAATAACATGTCATACCTGCTCCACACAGTCTACACAGAAAACAACATGTCAAACCTGCTCCACACAGAAAACAACAAGTGACACCTACTCCACACATTCTACACAGAAAACAACATGTCATACCTGCTCCACACAGTTCTACACAGAAAACAACATGTCAAACCTGCTCCACACAGAAAATAAAATGTCATACCTGCTCCACACAGTTCTACACAGAAAACAACATGTCAAACCTACCCCACACAGAAAACAACATGTCATACCTGCTCCACACAGTTCTACACAGAAAACAACATGTCAAACCTGCTCCACACAAAAAATAACATGTCATACCTGCTCCACACAGGCAACACAGAAAACAACATGTCATACCTGCTCCACACAGTTCTACACAGAAAACAACATGTCAAACCTACCCCACACAGAAAACAACATGTCATACCTGCTCCACACAGTTCTACACAGAAAACAACATGTCAAACCTACCCCACACAAAAAATAACATGTCATACCTGCTCCACACAGTCTACACAGAAAACAACATGTCACACCTGCTCCACACAGAAAACAACAAGTGACACCTACTCCACACATTCTACACAGAAAACAACATGTCATACCTACTCCACACAGTTCTACACAGAAAACAACATGTCAAACCTGCTCCACACAGAAAACAACATGTCATACCTTCTCCACACAGTCTACACAGAAAATAACATGTCATACCTGCTCCACACAGTTCTACACAGAAAACAACATGTCAAACCTACCCCACACAAAAAATAACATGTCATAACTGCTCTACACAGTCTACACAGAAAACAACATGTCATCCCTGCTCCACACAGTTCTACACAGAAAACAACATGTCAAACCTACCCCACACAGAAAACAACATGTCATACCTGCTCCACACAGTTCTACACAGAAAACAACACGTCACACCTGCTCCACACAGTCTACACAGAAAACAACATGTCACACCTGCTCCATACAGTTCTACACAGAAAACAACATGTCACACCTGCTCCACACAGTTCAACACAGAAAACAACATGTCACACCTGCTCCACACAGTCTACACAGAAAACAACATGTCACACCTGCTACACACAGTTCTACACAGAAAACAACATGTCACACCTGCTCCACACAGTTCTACACAGAAAACAACATGTCACACCTGCTCCACACAGTCTACACAGAAAACAACATGTCAAACCTGCTCCACACAGAAAATAACATGTCATACCTGCTGCACACAGTCTACACAGAAAACAACATGTCACACCTGCTACACACAGTTGTACACAGAAAACAACATGTCACACCTGCTCCACACAGTCTACACAGAAAACAACATGTCACACCTGCTCCACACAGTCTAAACAGAAAACAACATGTCACACCTGCTACACACAGTCTAAACAGAAAACAACATGTCACACCTGCTCCACACAGTTCTACACAGAAAACAACATGTCACACCTGCTCCACACAGTCTACACAGAAAACAACATGTGAAACCTGCTCCACACAGAAAATAACATGTCATACCTGCTCCACACAGTCTACACAGAAAACAACATGTCACACCTGCTACACACAGTTCTACACAGAAAACAACATGTCACACCTGCTCCACACAGTCTAAACAGAAAACAACATGTCATACCTGCTCCACACAGTCTACACAGAAAACAACATGTCAAACCTGCTCCACACAGTCTAAACAGAAAACAACATGTCATACCTGCTACACACAGTTCTACACAGAAAACAACATGTCACACCTGCTCCACACAGTTCTACACAGAAAATAACATGTCACACCTGCTCCACACAGTCTACACAGAAAAAAACATGTCATACCTGCTCCACACAGTTCTACACAGAAAACAACATGTCACACCTGCTCCACACAGTCTACACAGAAAACAACATGTCACACCTGCTCCACACAGTTCTACACAGAAAACAACATGTCACACAGTTCTACACAGAAAACAACATGTCACACCTGCTCCACACAGTCTACACAGAAAACAACATGTCACACCTGCTCCACACAGAAAACAACATGTCATACCTGCTCCACACAGTTCCACACAGAAAACAACATGTCATACCTGCTCCACACAGTCTACACAGAAAACAACATGTCATACCTGCTCCACACAGTCTACACAGAAAAAAACATGTCACACCTGCTCCACACAGTTCTACACAGAAAACAACATGTCACACCTGCTCCACACAGTTCTACACAGAAAACATGTCACACCTGCTCCACACAGTCTACACAGTCTACACAGAAAACAACATGTCACACCTGCTCCACACAGAAAACAACATGTCATACCTGCTCCACACAGTTTACACAGAAAACAACATGTCACACCTGCTCCACACAGTTCTACACAGAAAACAACATGTCACACCTGCTCCACACAGAAAACAACATGTCACACCTGCTCCACACAGTTCTACACAGAAAACAACATGTCATACCTGCTCCACACAGAAAACAACATGTCACACCTGCTCCACACAGAAAATAACATGTCATACCTGCTCCACACAGTCTACACAGAAAACAACATGTCATACCTGCTCCACACAGTTCTACACAGAAAACAACATGTCATACCTGCTCCACACATTCTACAGAGAAAGCAACATGTCATACCTGCTCCACACAGTTCTACACAGAAAACAACATGTCAAACCTGCTCCACACATTCTACACAGAAAACAACATGTCATACCTGCTCCACACAGTTCTACACAGAAAACTACATGTCACACCTGCTCCACACATTCTACAGAGAAAACAACATGTCATACCTGCTCCACACAGTTCTACACAGAAAACAACATGTCATACCTGCTCCACACAGTTCTACAGAGAAAACAACATGTCATACCTGCTACACACAGTTCTACACAGAAAACAACATGTCATACCTGCTACACACAGTTCTACAGAGAAAACAACATGTCATACCTGCTCCACACATTCTACAGAGAAAACAACATGTCATACCTGCTCCACACAGTTCTACACAGAAAACTACATGTCACACCTGCTCCACACATTCTACAGAGAAAACAACATGTCATACCTGCTCCACACAGTTCTACACAGAAAACTACATGTCACACCTGCTCCACACATTCTACAGAGAAAACAACATGTCATACCTGCTCCACACAGTTCTACACAGAAAACAACATGTCATACCTGCTCCACACAGTTCTACAGAGAAAACAACATGTCATACCTGCTCCACACAGTTCTACAGAGAAAACAACATGTCATACCTGCTACACACAGTTCTACAGAGAAAACAACATGTCATACCTGCTCCACACAGTTCTACACAGAAAACAACATGTCATACCTGCTCCACACAGTCCACACAGAAAACAACATGTCACACCTGCTCCACGCAGTCTACACAGAAAACAACATGTCATACCTGCTCCACACAGTCTACATAGAAAACAACATGTCAAACCTGCTCTACACAGAAAACAACATGTCACACCTGCTCCACACAGTTCTACACAGAAAACAACATGTCAAACCTGCTCCACACAGTCTACACAGAAAACAACATGTCATACCTGCTCCACACAGACAACAACACGTCACACCTGCTCCACACAGTCTACACAGAAAACAACATGTCACACCTGCTCCACACAGTTCTACACAGAAAACAACATCATTGAGTGTGAGATAGGATAAGTTTAAAAATTTGGAAATTTTAGTATAAATTGTATATTTGACACGTGATAGGCCCACCCGACCATCCCCGCATCTCATTAGCCTCTAGCCTTATAGGCTCTGTGAAAGAGAATGAATTGGTAGAGGTGCACACATGCTCACTTCAAGTAGGCACGGCATGCACGAAAGGCACGTAATTGACCTAGGTTCTGGACGTAACCATGGAGATACAGGGGGGCTTTGGTGCCTATTTTTATTTTCAGAAGCTGGAAACATGATTCAAGCACGGTCCCACATAGGATCGGAGAAGAAGGGAGAAATGTAAAGTGTGAGATAGGATAAGTATATAAATATACAATTTATACTAAAATTTCCAAATATGTCCTGTTGATCAGTCACTGACACAAGATGGCTTCAGTGTTGAACAATGTTCTAATTTATCAAAAGCTAACAACCAAGGCAGTCATACTTGAAACGATCAACCTAGAAAATAGTTCTGAAATGTAGCAGTACTACTGAAAGAACCTTTGTTCAGTGACTACCTGGAAGATGAAGCCATCGAGAAGTCTGCCTTCAAGCATCATCATGAGTTTCTCAAATGGCCGCAGCTTCTCATCTGTTGTGTTAAACTTGGCGGGATTGTGACGAACAGATTTCACCATTCTGAAACAACAGAAGTAATAAATGGCAAAATAGACAGAAACAAGAAACCAGTGTTATCACTATTCCCTGCCATGACGCACATCAGCATTTTGTTTGTTCATAAAGTAGTGAACATAAACTATGAAAAGAGTGCCATTAAGCCTTAGACTGCTTTATATCACCGGAAAAAATGATAACATGTGAAATAAATACACACAAAAGGCATCTTCTCCGGAAAACATAATTCAGTCTTGATAAGTATCTCTCAGACGAGCTAATTTCAGTGGTTTCTGTGGCAGACACTATGCACCAAGTAAAATATCCTGAATCAAGGGCTGAATCTCAGAAAAAAATGAATTTACAACAATTTTTGTACTCATTCGAGATCATTAGTCAATAACGAAATAAAGAATAACAATAAAGAATTAAAGCTGCAAGCAGCAATGGCGGGCTCCAAGTAACACTGTGCCCAAACGTCCATGTTCGAATCCTCAAAGGGTTTCCTTGAACCAAATCCGTCAAATGTAGGCACCACTTGCAGGGTATCGTCGCTAGGAAATTGGCGTGTGCCAGGGGGTCCAGGTCTGTTCTAAAACCATTTACGACCTCGAACATGTTCGAATCCATAAAGGGTTTGCCTGTGCCAACTCCGTTCAAAAATTGTCACTTAACATCGCTGCTACGAATTGGCGTGTTCCAGGGGTGTCCCAGGGGTGTCCCAAATATTGATCAAATATTACCACGAAGCGGTGTTACTTTTAGCATGCAACCAAGAACAAAAGATGAGGTATACATGTCAGACTAACTTCATGTCAATTTTCAATAGTTTCTGTGGAGAACCTTACAAGATATGATCTTTCAAGTAAAATGTTGGTGAAAAAAATCATCAAAATCAAAATCCAATAGGGCGATGACTAAGAAAGATATCCAAAAAACGGCTAACAGAGTTTAATGCATAATGTATGGAGACAATTCTCAGAAAGTTTGGATGCAATTCAGACTGTGGCTTCAGAGGAGATAGGATTTGAAGACAGGTACCCAAAAAAACCTGTCAAAACCTTGAATCCAATATGGCTGCCAAACCACGTGACCAATGACCAAAGTCAAAGAACATCAAATGTCAAGCACCCAAAGCAGTAGACACATCTAAAGTTTGAAAGTAATTGGACAAGCGGTTGCGAAGCAATAGGGCAAAATATAGCTTTTAAAATTGCTTATTTTTCAGTTATCTGCCCATGGTCTTTGGGCCTACGGCCTTGGAATTTGTGTGGTATCTGGTACGTAAGTATCTGGATACACATACAAAATTTGAATGGAATCGAGGCAGTGGTTACTATGCTAGCTCTGGTACAAAAATCGGCGGAATAATAATAATATTAAATCGAACGATAGCACTGGGACTCTTCAGCTTTTCGGCTTGGTGACTCTGAACCAGACTGTAACTTATTTGTCAGTTGAGCTTCAGTCAAATGGATGAGCGTTCTGAGTTCGTCAGGGCCCCGGGTTTATGTCGTATTGCTGAGATAAAGTGCTAAACCTGTTTCCGACCTCGTCCATGTTCGAATCCTCAAATGGTTTGCCTGTACCAATGCCGTCAAATGTAATGAACCGCTTGTCAGACATCACCACGTGTGTCCCAGTGTGTTCTTAACTCATGTTTGACTTCGACCATGTTCGAATCCTCAAATGGTTTGGTTGTACCAACGCCGTCAAATGTAATGAACCGCATGTCATACATCACCACATGTGTCCCAGTGTGTTCTTAACCCATGTTTGACTTCGACCATGTTCGAATCCTCAAATGGTTTGCCTGTACCAACGCTGTTAAATGTAATGAACCGCTTCTGAGACATCTCCACATATGTCCCAGTATGTTTTTAACCCGTTTCCGACCTCGAATCCTCATGTTCGAATCCTCAAATGGTTTGCCTGTACCAACTCCGTCAAAAGATAGTCACCGTTTGCAGGACATCACCACTACGAAATTGGTGTGTGCCAGAGTTAACCAGAGTGAAGCATGGGTTGCTGAAGTCCAATTCTAACCCTCATCTTCAAGGGTAGTATACATACTGCAAAAGACACTTGACGGTCAAAGGGAAATAATCCTGAGTTTTCTGAGCGATGTTTTCGGTATTTTGTCAATATTACCACCAGGTGGTGTTACTTTTAGCATGCAACCAAGAACAAAAGATGAGGTACATATGGCACACTAACTTCATGTAAACTTTCAATAGTTTCTGTGGAGAACCTTACAAGATGTGATCTTTATATAAAGGAAAAATTCGGTGAAAGAAATCATCAAAATCAAAATCAAACAGAGCCGTCACTAAGACAGATATCCAAAAACGGCTAACAGAGTTTGGTGTGTTATGTGTGGAGACAATTCTCAGAAAGTTTGAAAGCATTTCATGCAGTGGATTCAGAGGAGATAGTATTTGAAGACAGGTACCCAAAAAAACCTGTGAAAACCTTGAATCCAATATGGCAGCAACTAAAAAAGATATCCAAAATCGGCTAACAGAGTTTGATGTGATATGTATGGAGACAGTACTCAGAAAGTTTGGATGCATTTCATGCATTGGATTCAGAGGAGATAGGATTTGAAGACAGGTACCCCCAAAACCCTGTAAAAACTTTGAATCCAATATGGCTGCCAAAGCACGTGACCAATGACCAAGATCAAAGAACAGAAAATGTTCAGCACCCGAAGCAGCAGACATGTGTAAAGTTTGAAAGTAATCGGACAAGCGGTTGCGGAGCAATAAGGCGAAATATATCTTCAAAAAATACTTGTTTTTCAGTTATCTGCCCTTGGCCATAGGGCCTACGGCCTTGGAATTTTTGTGGTATTTGGTACCTAACAACCTGCACACACACAAAAAAATTGAACAAAATCGAGTCAGTGGTTAAACTGCTATCTCTGGAACAAAAAACGGCGGAATAATAAATAATAATAATAATAATTAAAGCTGCTAGCAGCAATGGCGGGCTCCAAGTAACACTGCGCACAAACGTCCAGGTTCGAATCCTCAAAGGGTTTCCTTGTGCCAAATCCGTCATATGTGGGCAGCACTTGCAGGGTATCGCCGCTACGAAATTGTCATGTGCAGTGGCATCCAAGTCTGTTCTAAACCCATTTCCGACCTTGAACATGTTCGAATCCTCAAAGGGTTTGCTTGTACCAACTCCGTTCAAAAATTGTCACCTAACATCGCTGCTACGAATTGGCGTGTTCCAGGGGTGTCCCAGGGGTGTCCCAGCGGTGTCCCAAATATTGATCAAATATTACCACGAAGCGGTGTTACTTTTAGCATGCAACCAAGAACAAAAGATGAGGTATACATGTCAGACTAACTTCATGTCAATTTTCAATAGTTTCTGTGGAGAACCTTACAAGATATGATCTTTCAAGTAAAATTTCGGTGAAAAAAATTATCAAAATCAAAATCCAATAGGGCCGTGACTAAAAAAAAAATCCAAAAACGGCTAACAGAGTTTAATGTATAATGTATGGAGACAATTCTCAGAAAGTTTGGATGCAATTCAGACTGTGGATTCAGAGGAGATAGGATTTGAAGACAGGTACCCAAAAAACCCTGTGAAAACCTTGAATCCAATATGGCTGCCAAACCACGTGACCAATGACCAAAGTCAGAGAACATCAAATGTCAAGCACCCAAAGCAGCAGATACATCTAAAGTTTGAAAGTAATTGGACAAGCGGTTGCGAAGCAATAAGGCAAAATATAGCTTTTAAAATTGCTTATTTTTCAGTTATCTGCCCTTGGTCTTTGGGCCTACGGCCTTGGAATTTGTGTGGTATCTGGTACGTAAGTATCTGGATACACATACAAAATTTGAATGGAATCGAGGCAGTGGTTATTATGCTAGCTCTGGTATAAAAATCGGCGGAATAATAATAATATTAAATCAAACGATAGCACTGGGACTCTTCAGCTTTTCGGCTTGGTGACTCTGAACCAGACTGTAACTTCTTTGTCAGTTGGGCTCCAGTCAAATGGATAAGCGTTCTGAGTTCGTCAGGGCCCCGGGTTTATGTCGTATTGCTGAGATAAAGTGCTAAACCTGTTTCCGACCTCGTCCATGTTCGAATCCTCAAATGGTTTGCCTGTACCAACGCCGTCAAATGTAATGAACCGCTTGTGAGACATCACCACGTGTGTCCCAGTGTGTTCTTAACCCATGTTTGACTTCGACCATGTTCGAATCCTCAAATGGTTTGCCTGTACCAACGCCGTCAAATGTAATGAACCGCTTGTCAGACATCACCACATGTGTCCCAGTGTGTTCTTAACCCATGATTGACTTTGACCATGTTCGAATCCTCAAATGTTTTGCCTGTACCAACGCCGTCAAATGTAATGAACCGCTTGTGAGACATCCCCACATATGTCCCAGTGTGTTCTTAACCCATGTTTGACTTCGACCATGTTCGAATCCTCAAATGGTTTGCCTGTACCAACGCCGTTAAATGTAATGAACCGCTTGTGAGACATCCCCACATATGTCCCAGTGTGTTCTTAACCCATTTCTGACCTCGAATCCTCATGTTCAAATCCTCAAAGGGTTTGCTTGTACCAACTCCGTCAAAAGATAGTCACCGTTTGCAGGACATCACCACTACGAAATTGGTGTGTGCCAGAGTTAACCAGAGTGTTCTAAACCCATTTACCACCAAGACAATGTTCGAATCCCGATAATCGCCTATTGAGACCAGCATGAGTTGCTGAAGACCAATTCTAACCCTCATCTTCAAGGGTAGTATACATACTGCAAAAGACACTTGACGGTCAAAGGGAAATAATCCTGAGTTTTCTGAGCGATGTTTTCGGTATTTTGTCAATATAACCACCAGGCGGTGTTACTTTTAGCATGCAACCAAGAACAAAAGATGAGGTACATATGGCACACTAACTTCATGTAAACTTTCAATAGTTTCTGTGGAGAACCTTACAAGATGTGATCTTTATATAAAGGAAAAATTCGGTGAAAGAAATCATC